CACTTGCGGCCTCTGGGGGTGACACTTTTTTTCCCCTCAGTACTGGTGGAATGTTTTATCCTTTCGTTCTGTCCTCCATGCTAGAGGGTAGGGGTGCCTCACACTGCTCCCCACATGGCCTGCACCACAAAAACTTATGTAGGGTCGGGAGCCTGCTACTCCTGGCTAACTGTGTTTGTTTTCCCTTTTTAAATAAATGTAAATAACTATTGAGACAAAGCTGTTTTCAGAATGGGTCACACAGAAAACACAAATATCTAGTATATGCAAGAAACCCATTCTGACAAAAGATTTGAAAAGCTTAAGAAATAAATATGCACTGGGGGTGACAGAGACACATAGAAAGCAGGGGGAGAAATATTAACATCATAAGATGAGGAAAGGAGGTTATCTTATTATGTAAGAAGTATAAATCAGTGAAAATAATTTTAACAAATATGTGTATACCTAATAACATGGCCTCCACATCTTATTTTTTTTACTCTATAGATTTAGATACATATATTGACATCTACACATGAGAGCAAACATGTCGTATTTGTCTTTCTGTGGCTGGCTTTTTTTTCACTAAGCATAAGGGCCTCCATTCCCATCCACTTTGTTGCAAAATGCTAAGGTTTCATTCTCTTTTTATGGTCGGGTGTACATATTTCCTGTTGCTTCTTAAAGTACACATTTGTCATCTCCTGGTTTTGCAGGTCAGGAATTTCATATGGGTCTCTCCAAACTAAAACTGAAGTGTCGGTAGGCTTCAATTCTTTCTGGAGGTTCTAGGAAGAGTCCATTTCCTATTCATTTGGGTTGTTGGCAGCATTAAATTCCTTGCAGCAGCAGGACTTGCTGACTGTGTGTTGAGGGCTATTCCCAGCTTCTAGAGGCTGCCACAGTCCTTCCTTCATAGCTGCCTTTCTCCAAATTCACATCCAACCATGGTGGGTCACATCCTCCTTGCATCACATCACTTTAACCCAATCTTCTGCTCTCCTCTAATGCCTTTGATAGTTCGTGTGACTGTGTTGGACCCACCCAAATAATCCAGGAAAGTCTTTCTATGGTAAAGTCAAATAATTAGTAACTTTAACTTCATCTCCCATCTTAATTACATTTTACCATACAACATAACGTATTCAGAGGTTCTGGGGATTAGGACACGGGCAATACAAAGCCATAGTTTTGCCTACCACAGCAGTGGTATGAGTCATCATTCTACTAGAACTCTTCTGACACCATCCCAGCAAGGAAGGGTGAGGGTCATCTCATTTTTGCTCTGAGTGAGTGAGTGAATGGATTGGCTTCCAACACAGCTTTGCTTGACATCATCCCATCAGGGAAGCCAGGTCGGGGCATAGTCGTGGCAACTATGTGAGGGAAAAACTCTGGGCTCTTCCCCCTGTATTTGTTGTCGGGGGTTGAGGGTAGGTGTGTGGCTGCTGTCTCCACTCCTCCCATGGTGGTTGGCAGGTGTTATCTAAAAAGTTTCTGTTTTTACTAGGATGGCTCTTCCACGGTTCTCAAGCTAAAGAGAAGGATTTTGGAGGATCTCTCCTCATGTGTGCCCATTGACATTTCCACATTACTGATTTTTCCACATTCCAGTAGTGGACATATGATGCAAAAAGCAAATCCTGTGAACTTACTATGCTGTTGCTTCACAGGGCCCAATGTCCCATACTGGTTGGAATTCTTTTTAGAGTCTTGCAACCTGTGTGTGTGTTGGTGTGTGTATACATACATACAAACATATATATGTATGTATACATATGTGTATGTATGTACATATGCATATATATACATATTCACACATAGTGGATTTTAGCTGGGAGGAATCAAGATAAGTCTGCCTACTCTACCTTGTGCCAGAAATAGAAGTGCACAAAATACTTTAAAATATTTAAGTGCTTATCAAAATACATTTTCATCTATAAATTAAATTATGATTTAATTGCATTTCATTATTAAAGGTAAACAGCATTTTAAGGTATCATATTTGATGCATCTTCAGTTCTAGTAGCGGAATCAGCGACAGACATTGATTGGCAAAGCTCAGGAGCAGGGGACGCCACCATCAACTGGTTATCTTATGAGGGGCACTGTATAATAAGCAGTGGCAAGGAGCACATAAGAACTATTCAGACTGGGTTTAGAGTTCAGAAGCCCCACTTGCTCACCACTTGTGTGATTTCAGACAAGTCCTCCTTCCCCTCTAGCCCATCTGTCTCAAAAAACAAGCAAACAATAGCTCTCAGAGCATAGACAGGAGAAATAAATGGCATACTCTTACAGATGTAGATGGGATACTCTATGGGATGATCTACCTGTGGAAAGCACTGATCAAATGATGTTTTGTTTCATGCACTTCACAAAGCTGCAGAGAATTTTGAAGGCAGACTCTGCAGGGGGAGTCTGTCAGAGTTCAGGAAAGGGGCGATGATTCAGACTCCTGTGACCTTGGTCTCCACAATGGCACATTTCAGAAACCCAGAAAAAGAGGTCCATAGGGTATTGCAGTCTCTCTCCACCCAGTAGTTAAAGCTATATCCCCTTGCCTCTGAGAAATGAGTGCAACCATACAGTTAGTGGAAAGAACTTCTGAGTTAATCTTGGTTCAACTCTTGAGCCTCACTAGGGCTCATCAAGTGCACCCGGCATTTCTCACTTCCTTACTCACTGTCTGCGAGTTGTCGCTTCTAGCCTGTATACATCACAGTCTGTAGGTGTCATTCCCTTGCTCCAGCTAACTTACCCGCTAATTTAGAGGACAGAGAGCCTCACGGTGAACCACCGTTAATCTGAGATCTTCTTCTGCCTCACTCTCATCTTCAGGAAAACTTTTTCTAGGACAGACATAGAAGTCTCGATAGGCACGTCACATCTCGAGGCAGACAAGCATATTTTCAGTTACTGTTTCCCAAGAACGTAGAGAATGCCAGCTACTTCCTGAAGTCAAGTCAGCAGAGCTAGCCAAACTTAAAGACTTGTTCTGAGCCTGTCACCTAGCAGCAATAATGCTTTGATGTGCTTTATGAGGTTGGCATGCTATGGGTACAATGTCCTTCCAAGATGCCTTGCTCCCTGCAGTCACAATTGGACGTGATTAAGCTTGTGGTGCATACTAGGGAACAAATCCATGAGGCAAAACGAAACTTCTTTTTCTGGCTACTATACTGAGGAGGCTTCTGTCACTCAGTTTGTTTGGATTAACAAATTAAAGACAATCTTGTTACTCTTGATCATTTCCTTGAAAACCTTGAGCAAACTACAATTGCAAGCTCCACATTCTGTAAGAATATATTTGGAGAAATCTCGATACGACCCCAAATTAGATGGGTTCTCAATTCACCCAGTTGGTTGCTTGGTCTCTCTAAAATCAAGCTTGGTGAAGATGTGCACACTCCAGCTCGTCACAGTTAAGCTGACTTGGGAAAAATACTGGGACATAATCGGTAGGGAAATTTTAACTGGATAGCAGGGAGATGTCCCCAGTGCGTGTTATAAATGCTTGCCACTTGAAATTCATGCTTCTGTGAAAGGAATAAAGCTAAAAATTTTAGAGGTTATAAAAAAATTCTTCCTTTACTAGCTTTCTTTTTTTTAAACTTTTATTTAATGAATATAAATTTCCAAAGTACAGCTTATGGATTACAATGGCTTCCCCCCCATAACGTCCCTCCCACCCGCAACCCTCCCCTTTCCCACTCCCTCTGCGAAAGGAATAAAGCTAAGAATTTTAGAGGTTATAAAAAAAATTCTTCCCCTACTGGCTTTCCTGTTGCAAATGGGCCCTGCGTTGTGTGTACATTAGTGCATTCAGTCATATATTTGTCCAACACTTGCTGAGCACCTAATCTGTGTGCCTCAGATCCTGTGTTGGGAAGTAGAGGTATAGGGGTAAAAGAGGGAGACCAAGTTCCTGCCCCCCAGGAATTTACATTCCGGTAGGGGGATATACTAAAACCTAGTCACAGACTAGCACCGTGGCTTTGTGGGAAAAGGTGCCGCCTGTGATGCTGGCATAACATATGGGAACCAGTTCATAGCCCAGCTGCTCCACTTCAAATCTAGCTCCCTGATAATGGCCTGGGAAAACCACTGGAAGGTGGCCCAAGTGTTTGGGCCCCTGGCATCCACACGGGAGACCTGAATGAAGCTCCAGGATCCCGGTTTAGCCTGGCCCAGCCCCGGCCATTGTGGCCATTAGGGGAGTGATCCAGTGGATGGAAGATTCTCTCTCTCTCTCTCTCTCATTCTCTCTCTCTCTCTCTCTCTCTCTCTCTCTCTCTGTGTGTGTGTGTATAGCACTGAAAATCACACAAATAAATAAATCTTTATAAATATAAACACTAGAGACACTTTCACACAAATGGACAATCACAAATGGGCAATGTGATTGGCAGTGACTAGTTATTGTAGTAAAATTTTCAGAGACCTGTGGCATTTGAGCTTAGTTCAAAATGAGATGCAGGGCAGCAGGGAAGCCTGCTGTAATAATCATTTATCATGTATGTATGTCATAAGGGTGTGAAGGGGGAATGTTTTCTGAACTGAACAAAAGTCTTGTGTGGCAGCTCCCTAGTGAACAAAAGGGAGAGTGAACAAAAAGGAGTTGAGGTCCTGGAGATAGACAGGGATCTGATGGCTGAAAGCTTTGTAAGCCAATTTCGAAGACTGAATTTTATTCATAGTATAAAGAGAAGCCACTATGGGATTTGAAGTCAGTACGTGATAGGAAACAACTTGGACTTTGCGGTAATTACCACACCTGCTTTGTGAACAGCAGAAGGTTGCTGGATAGAGCAGACACTGCCACTTCCCCTTGCCAAAGGTCGAATACTCAATCCCTATTTAGCATTAAAATGCTCAATTTTTGCCAGATACTTTGCTGGCTGGGACAAAATATTACACCCAAAGGTGATAGAGTGATCCTGGGAATGCAGCCTAAGTAGAATTTAGGTAACTGAAATTAGTCCCTATTTTTCCTACTGCCTTTCCATTTTCTCCAGGCCTATGGCATTGGTATCATGGCTGGAGTTCTAGCAGCTGCAACAAACCATGGAGAGACCCTGAGACTTGAAGTCACGTACCTTCAGAATGACTGGCGCCTGAGTCCCTTGTGACTACAGGGAGGCCTCATGACCTGCCTTGCACTGGAAAACTCTACACATCTTCCATGTAAGGAAGAAAAATCTCATTTTATGCAAGACATAATCTGAGGATAGAGCCAGCATGATAAGATCAAGGATCAGGTATGAGGTGAGTGGCTGTAACACTTAATGAGATAAGAGAGGTTTTGAGACAGAGCACATTTCGAGGAAAATCAAGACTTCAGTTTTGCATTTGACAATTCCGTGATGCCTAGTAGAAATCAACATGGAAATGTTGAAGAGATACTTAAAAATTCCTCAGGGAAAAAGTGAGTGGGAGATAGTAATTTAGTAGTGATGAGCATTGTGACAGTATTTAAGTCACCAGATAGGATGGTATCACCTAGGGAGAATGGAGGAAGAGAAGAGGGCTGGAGTTAGATCCCTAGGAGAGAGTCACATTTAGGTGTTCAGTGTGGGAACACCTACCAGCAAACCTAACTGAGGATGAGGGTCTGAACAGATGGACAGAGAAGGCAGAAGTAGCTGTGGCTGACAGCAGCAAAATTGAGGCCAGAAGCAAGAAGATGGGGGCAAAGAGGCAGACAGAAATGGACAGGGCAGAGATAGATAAGGGAGGAAACAAGACAGACAGAAAAAGTCAGACAGTCAGGAAGGGTCAGAAGGAGACAGACTAATGGCAGATGAAGAGTGAAAGAGAGCCATAGCCACAATCCCATGAATGGATTCAATACAGAGGCAGAAAAGACACAGACAGAAACAGAAAAGGACAGAGACCGAGATGAATAGAATGTCAGAGACTGTCAGGTAGAGACAGTCAGCCACAGAAGCAAATAGTAAGGGAGAATCAGACAGAAAGACAAAATGCAAGGGAGACATATGGCAAGTCACACAGAAAGAGAGACAGACGAGAGAAAAAGAGAGCAAGTGATGGAGACAAATATATAAAAAAGAGGCAGGCAGAGGCACATAGAAACCAAGGCAGAAGGCGATTCTGGGTCTCTCTGGCTGCCTGTCTCTGTCTGCTTGCTTGCCTCTATCGCTTGCTGCCTTATGGGAGGGAGATTGATCAGAAGGAGTTCAGAATGTGAAGATAGAACACCCAGAGATTATGAGCCCACCAAATACGGAGCAGTAGAGTTTCTCTAATAACGTCAGGTATTGATTCCAAACCATCCAGTCCCAACAGCTTGTATGCTAAGTAGAAACTGAATGAAGAATGTGGGATATTGTGAAATTCTGAGTAGCCCACCTTGATCAAGTTTTTTATAGTTAAATGTTGCTCAACCATTTTTATCACAGTGATTGGAGCATTGGTGTGTTATAAGGGGCAAGGACATATCCACTAGGGCAGTTGTCCAGGATGTATTTGGCCTTCATTTATAACAAAGGAAAGATGAGCTAAACGTTTTGCTTTGCTTCATAAATTGTAAGATCATTATGCCTACCAGGAAGGGTGACACTGTTATAAAATTACTTTTATTCTAATTTGTTTGGAAAGTTTGTTCTTGTCCAATTAACCTCATGGAAGAAAAGTGGTTCTAAGAAATCCAGTTGGGAGATGTACAGACTTTAAACTCCCATCCTGAGTAGCCCCGATGGAATTTGAGGATGCTACTTAAAAACATCCTTTCTCCTTCTCCGTGCTCCCATTTGCTAAAGGTTTTGAGAAGTAGGCACATGGAGACACAAAAAATTTATTCTTGTTTCTTAAAAACTGACTGATTAAGTTGTGTGCCTATATCACATACAACATGATATTTTGAAGTGTAATCATATATACACTGCAATAAATAAAATCTAGCTAATTAACCCATGCATTATCTTACCCAGTGTTTTGTAGTGAGAACACTTAACACTCATGCTCACGTTTTAAAAAGCACAATACATTGTGTTTAACTATGATAGTCAATAGATCTCTTGAACATTATCCGCTTAACCTAAATTTTTGCGTCTTCAGACCAACATCACAACAGCCACAGCCACCCCCACACTACCATGCCTCAGTCCCTTGCCAGAACCTTTCTACTCATTGGTTCTCTGAGATAAACCTTTATATAGATAGATAGATAGATAGATAGATAGATAGATATAGATATATATTCAACATCAGAGTGAGATCATGCTGTATTCTTTTTGTGTCTGGCTTATTTCACTTTTTTTGTTATTGTCCTACACATACAGCCACATGGAAGGATCCCTTTCCTTTTGTGTTTGGGTAATATTCCCTTTGTGTATATTAACCATATTTTCTTTTATAAAAGATTTATTTATTTGAAAGGCAGAGTTACACAAAGCCAGAGGGTGGGGAGGGGAGAGACAGAGAGACAGAGAGAGAGATCATCCATCTGCTGGTTCGCTCCTCAGAATGCTGCAATGGCTGGAGCTGCACCAATCTGAAGCCAAGAGTCAGGAGCTTCTTTCAGGTCTCCCACGCTGGTGCAGGGGCCCAAGGACTTAAGCCATCTTCTACTGCTTTCCCGGGACATAGCAGAGAGCTGGCTCTGAAGTGGAGCACTGAGACTCGAACCAGCACACATAGGGGATGCTGGCACTGCAAGCAGTAGCCTTACCTGCTATGCCACATTACCAGCCCCACCATATTTTCTTTATATGTTCCTGCCTTGTTGAATACTTTGGTCAATTCCATATCTAGGCTGTTGTGAACAGTGCTATAAAAAAAGTGGAGTGCAGATATCTCCTTAACTTACTGATTTCATTTCTTTTGGATATATTCCCCCTAGCGGGATTCCTGGATCCTTTCATAGTTCTTTTTCTAGATTTTTTGAGGAAGTTCCATGTTACTCTCTCTATGTCTATGCTAATTGCCACCAATAGGGCGCACTTTTTACCACATCGCTTTTGCCACATCGTTTTCATTGTTTGTGTGTGTGTGTGTGTGTGTGTGTGTGTGGGCTGGGGATCTTTCTGATTACAGCCATTTTAGTAGTTGTAAAATGGTTTTCCATTTGGGTTTTAATTTGCACTTCCTTGAAGATTAGTAACGCTGCACATACTTTTGATATACCTGCTGGCCATTTATGTGTTTTATTTTTTGAAATGTTTATTCAAGTGACTGCCCTTTGGGAACCAGAATATTTCTTTTCTTGTGTTTGTGCTGAAAATATTAATTCCTTACCCAGTTGTAGAGTTTGCAAATATTTTCTCCCATTCTGTGCCTCGCCTTTTCACTCTGTTGATTGTTTCCCTTACTGTGCAGAAGCATTTTCATATGATGGAATCCCATTTGCCTAGGTTTTGCTTTTGTTGCCCGGGCTTTTGGAATCATATTACAAAATATCATTTCCCAGACCTGTATCATGAAAATTTTTCCTTAGTTTTTGGTTCGGTTATATGTTTCTTTGCTTGTAATTTCAGTGTAGACATAGTTGTGTGTATTTTTTTTTAAGTCTTCAATGTGTTTGGGGCTGACTTTTTATGGTATGACATAAGGATTGATTTTTAATCCTCTCTGGGTGGACATAGAATTTTCATAACACCGCTTATGGAAGAGAACATCCTTTCCATCATGATTTCCTGGCACCTTTGTCCAAAATCACTTGGAGGTAAATGAGTGGATTTACTTCCGGGATCTCTATTCTGTCCCAATGGTCTGTGCATCAGTTTTTGTTGTTGTTATTGTTTGTTTGTTTGTTAGTTTTTCTGGGATTTTCATACTGATTTTTACTATGGCTTTGTAGTATTCTTTTGAAATTTGGCAATATAATGCCTTCAGCTTTGTTCTTTTAATTCAAGATACCCTTGACTCTTGAAGATCTTTTGTTGGTTCAGCTATGAAACTTAGGATTTCTTTTCTAGTTCTGTGAACAGTATCATTGGTATTATGATAGGGGTTCCATTGGATATGTAGATGGATTTGAGTAGCATGGATGATTTAACTAGGTAAATGCTTACAATCCATGAACACAGGGTTTCTTGCCATTTATTTGTGCATGATTCTGGTTTTATTTTTTATTTTTTTGCTTCAGCATCAGAGTTTTGTATTTTAGATTTAGAAATCCTTTATGTATGTGGTACAGTGATTTTCCAAAAATTTATTTTATTGTAGATATTTCAAATGTCATTGTTTTAATGATCTAGTACTTGGGTGGCTAATGGTTAGTGCTTAGAAACACTGTTGATTTTTGTATGTCGACTTGTAGTCTGAGACTTTAACAAATTCAAATTCATTTATTAGTTCTAACAGTTTTCTTGTTGCAATTTTTATGATTTTCAACATATGAGGCCATTTATTTATCTTATAGGTGTTTTTACAATAAAGAAAAATATAGCAAATTAACATTGCCTATCTTTACCTATTGTGCAACAGAACCCCAGAACTTCTTCCTCTTATCTAACTATTATCCAGTACCCGTCAGTAAACATTTCCTGGTAACTCCCTCTCTATGTCAATCCCCATTATTTCTCTTATATATTACCTGGCTTGTGTTGAGGAATGCTCCTTCTATACACAATTTGCTTAAAGTTTTTATCAGGAAAGATTTTTGTGTTTTATAAAATGCTTTCTCTTGCATCCATTGAGATAATCACATGGTTTTTATTCTTCAATTTGTTTATGTGATAAATCACATTTCTGGATTTGCTCTCGTTGAACCATCCAGGAATAAATCCCACTTGGTCCAGGTGAACGATCTTTCTGAATGTGTTGTTGGATTTTATCAGCTAGTAATCTGGTGATATTTGCAGCTGTGTTCATTCATCAGTGATACTTGTCTATACTTCTATTTCTTTGCTTTATATTTGATCTGGTTGTGGCGTTAAGATGATGCTGGCTTCCTGGAAGATTTCGGGAGCATTCCTTCCCTGTCAATTGTTCTGAATACTTGGAGACGAATTCGAACCAGTTCTTCAAAGTCTGGTGCAATTCAGCAGAGAAGCCATCCGTTCCTGGGATTTTCTTTGCTTGGAGGGTCTTCATTACTGATTGAATCTCCATCTTGGTTATTGTTCTGTTTAGGTTCTCAAGGTCTTCATGCCTCTGTTTTGTTGGG